TAATTACCTTTACAATTTATATAGAACATGTAGGACACGTTTATGACTTTATAAATATCTAAAAAAAAAAGGAAAATGGTTAATATAGGATTAAATGACAAAATCTCAGAGATTTATATTGTCATATATACTACAATATAATGTATAAGGTACGGCCATTATGCTTACAACCTTCCTTTATACTAAGCGAGTATATGTTATGTAATAACCACAGGACTCCTTTCCTTTGTAAAGCCACTAACATAATGACAATGGAAGCTCCAAGATAAGGCAAACTCCTCCTTCATATCTATAATAAATAAACTGTAACATCCACCTTTACGTCGAAAAGACATCTCTGTCCTACCAAAAAATTTTTGAATATTAAAGATTATTTGTCAAGTTTTAATGAATCCATCATGAGTTCATTTTTAAAAAATCAACACTAGTAATGTGGTTTTTTTTTTCAATTATTAATATTAGCATGAACCAAAAAAAAAAAATTCAATTAATTTTTAGTTAGTTCATTTGTTAAATGTTTATTTATATGCTAAAAAAATTTTGTTTTCAAAAAATTCTAACTTAATCGATCTGCCTGGAACGAAATTTTATTTCTTTTTATGATCAGATCGTTTGCGCAAGTATCAGGTGAGTCGGTATTATACACTATAACTATAGTTACTGTAGTTTCTATTTTCTATATAAAATTACAACATCGCCAATCGCATATTATTAAAAATCATGCATGCATGATTGGATATTTTTGAAATCCACCAAATATGGCAAACAATACTTTTATTAAAATTTTTTTTTTGATAATTTTTTTTTTGAACAAATGAACAAATTTCAATCATAAAGAATGTCGAAAGAATTTTTCACAAAATTAAATAGAGACTATATTGAGTTATTGGAAGATGATGAATATTACGATGTTACAATTGAAGTTGGCAAAGATCCTCATGTAAAAATATTTCGTGCACACAAGAATATTTTATGCTACCGTTCTCCATATTTACGAAGGGATTTATCTTCAAATCAAAAGAATTATGATAATGTTCTGACTCACTTGAAGTTACCAAATATTTCACCGGATAATTTTCAAATTATTTTAAAGTAAGTTAAAAAACTTATAATTAAGAATAAAATATAATAATATCTTTTAAAATATTTAAATTTTGAATTTTTATTTTTTCTCCTTTATTTTTTTGTGATTTAGGTATATTTACGGTGGTACCCTTTCATTAAATGTGCAAAATGTTTCAGACATCCTTAAGATCTTGGTAGCTGCCGATATACTTCTTCTTCAAGAATTAGTTGATTATTTACAAAATTATTTAATTGACAATAAATCTGATTGGATGGAACAACATTTTAAACTTATTCATCAAACAAGTGTTCAATCCAACAATTTTATAGAACTTCAAAAATTTTGTACAGATTTAATGGCCAAATCACCAGAGAAGATATTTAAATCATTTGATTTTACTTCGCTTCCTGAAAAATCTTTATTATCGCTTATTAAAAGAGATAATTTACAAATGGGAGAAACTGAAGTTTGGGATCATGTATTAAGATGGGGTCTTGCACAGAATCCAACTATGACCCCAGATCCTGCAACGTGGACGGATGATGATTTCAAAATAACGGAGAATACTTTACAGCATTGTTTACCTTTAATCAGATTTTTTAGTATGTCATCTATAGAATTTTTTCGTAAAGTTCATCCATATAAGAAGATGTTAAAGAGTCAACTTTATGAAAATTTATTAAAGTATCACTTGGATCCTAATAGCAACATAGCCTTTGACATTCCACTTCCTAGAATCGGGAATTTTGATTCAAAAATCATTGATATAAAGATTGTTTCCTTAATTTCCAAATGGGTAGATAATGCAGATCTTGAAAATCGATTTACTCATGTTAAAAAATTATATTTACCTTATAAATTCAAATTATTATTAAGAGGAAGTGATCATGGATTTACTCCTAAAAAGTTTCATACATTATGTGATGATATACCAAATACTGTCACATTCATTAAAGTTAAAGGAACAGAAGAAATCCTGGGAGGATATAATCCTAACGCATGGAAATCTACGAGTGAGTGGAGTAAAGCTAAAGATAGTTTTATATTTTCTTCTAAAAGTAAGGATGACTTTACTAAAGATGCGATTTTAAGTAAAGTTGAGGGTGTGGATCATGCATTAAGTTTTCACAAGAATTATGGACCATATTTTGGCGAAGATCTTCAGATATATTCATCAAGTGATTTTACAGATTATGATAAAAATATATTGTAAAAAGTATTATGAACGTAATATAAGAAAGACTGAAGGTAAAATTTCTATAGAAGATTATGAAGTATTTCAAATGATAAAGAAATAAATATAACATTTATATGTGGATAATAATTTACTTATATTTGAATTAAATAAAATTCGAGCGTTATTGGTGATTGTAAAAGTTAAATTTAATATTCAAAAACCTACGCGTTTTCAAGTATTTCTACAATATATATATTTTTTTTATTGTACAGTGATGTCTTTCATAAGCGAGAAATTTCGTGAATTGGTCGCGTTCATTGCCTTATTTATTTGAATATGGAATTCATATCGTTCCGTACATGAAAAAACATTGATTTTTACCATATACAGTAAGTATTTGATTCCTCGACGCAATTGAAAGAATTGATTATCGCGGAACCCTAGAAATAATTGTTTGCAACCCGAATTGGTTCCTCGTACGAGGATTTTTTTCAATAAAAGTAAACTGAATAAATAAATGCTTTGGCATTTCTGTATTCGAGAGAGGTTTTATCTTCGTAGTGGAAGCAACAAAAAGTGGCCTTTCAATACAATCAGGGCGTTTAATAGTACGAACGATCCACATGCATCCTTAGATTTTCAAACAAGGGAAAAAGCATAAAATTAAATTTTAAGGAACAAATTTTATCAAAATGATATATTAAATGTACTGTTCCCGAGAAGGAATTCACGTGACTTACATTTTTAAACAATCATTATGAAAATAAGTTAATTTTATTGGTTGGGCTGGTAATGAGCGTGTTTGCTGTTTCTGAATTTGGTGTTGTGGTTCTTTGATTTCCTTTCTTTTTTTTTAAAAAAAAATTTAAAAAAAAAAATTTTTTCATTGGGATATTTTAAATTCGGACAACTGCGCAATTTTTTTTTTTCGGATCGCAAAAATCGAAACGCAGTATCACGTGACTCTCTAGTGAAAATTTTAAAAAATGTGCATTTAAAGAGAAAATTTTCTATATGATTTCTGTATGCGCATTTAGAGAAAATATGTAGTGTTTGCATTTAGAGGGTGCATTTAGAGAGAGTTGACTGTAATATTGTGTTTACGTCAATGTTTATGACATTTACAACGCGTCTGTGTCCTCAAACTTTTTTAAAAATATATTTCTCCTGTTTCCATTCCTATAACTTTTTCAAACAACATATTTCTCCAAGATATATTTTTGCTCCCTCATGTGTTACTCACTCTTATAAAGAAGATCGATGTAGGGATTGGAATCGATTCTAATAATATCTAATTAATCGAAAATCGAATCGAAATCGATTTTAATCGATAATCGTATAAAAAAACCGAATCTATTTTTGGACATATATAATGCTCAGCACATTACAAAATTAAAAGGTTTCTATCTACTGTATATGGAGCGGAAGTTGAATTAGATTTTAGTTACATAATATATGAACGAATGTCAATTTTTTTTACAAATATTCGTGTCCAATAATTAAATAAACAAAAGTATTAATAAATCTTAAACCATAAAAATGGTATAAATTGTATAGTATTATTAAAAAAAAAATTGATTTTCGCGATAAAATTATTATCATTAAACTAGTGGTTTTACCCGGGCGATGCCCAGGGGGTTAGCTAACATGACGTGAAATAATTTTTTCAAAGTTTTAGCATAATACAATTTATTGATTTTTTTTTTTTATAAATGATCCAACCCTAACTCTAAACTATCCCTAATCTTAACACAAATCATCGTTTTATAAAAACAGGCTCGGAAAATCACGTGATTTCAAGAAAATCAGTTTAAAATTATTGGTTAATTTAGTAAATTGCAATTTATTCTGTCATTTTTAAAATTGGATTTTTGCAAACTAGGGTAAAATTTTGCAAGGAATTTATTAAAAGCATTAGTTTTGCTTTAGTAAGTTTATTTCATTCATTAAATATAATAATATAAAAATACAACAATTATAAATTATAAAATATTATATTTTTTGAATATGCTACATATAAATTTTTTTTTTATTTTCTGAAAAATTAGATCAATAAATATATAATTATAATAAAATTTTAAAATCAAAATTTTTGGCTAAACCCGGCTTTTGCTGGACTGGTCCCATATGATCATTGGATCAATTTAAAAGTAAGGCGAATGGGAAATGTAAAACTTAGTAAAATTTTAATTTCATATGTAAATTGGGCGGGATCATATAAATTCTCAAGATTCTCATTTATAAGTCAGTAAATTTAATAATAAATAATTTTTTTGTGCGCATATTAAGATTTACTTTTATATATAAAGCGCATATAAAAAATCTTTTTGCGCATATATTTTAAATTAGTTTAGGCGGAAAATGCACACGATTTTAAAATTTGCGCTGAAATAAATTTTTGAATTTATCACTGATTATTCGCTTTAAAAAAAAAGATATCAAGAGGTAGATATATTTTTAGTTGGGAAATCGGCAGAATTAAATATTTATATTTTAATCCTTTAGGACTATTACGAGGGTTTAAAAAAAAAAAGTGAATAGACGGTGAGAATTACCAACCCATTATCAATGTTCAAATCCCTCCTCCACGCGTTGTCACTCTTCCCCTTCCACCACGAATACCCGAACATCAAATATTTTATTCGAGTTCCTTCGTCTCTCTCAGCCACAAGTGAAGGCGAAGAAACTGATTGTGATGATTTTTCGATGTAGGTGACCGAGACCCTAAGAATTTTATGTTTGATGAATTTGTGGATGATGATCAAGAGAGACGTTTTGAATGATTCAATTTCATTTGATGAAAATTATGTTGACAATTCCGTGAGTTTTTTTCTTTTTCTTTCTACCAGTTAATACGTTTTGATCTTTTTTATAAATATCTTTTTGCGATATAGTTTATATGTTTTAAGAGAAGGATATATCTGCGCATATCGTTCAAAAGCATGAGCAAATGGCAGAGAATCGGGGTTATCTATCATGAAATATTTTAAGTTTGAATTTGAGAGCATATTCTCGTAATCATTAAATGCTTTTTATTTCTTATATCAGCTGGCTATAACAATTTTTACCTATTTCACAAAACGAAAAATATTCCTGTTAAGCCATTGAAGGACCTTCTCGAGGACACTCTGACTGCCAACATCATTAGCCCAGTATTGCGTTCCTTCTTTCACAATGCATCCAAACATCCAGCAATTTGGTCAAATACTGCCAGTATAAGCGCCAAAGTCCGAAAACTTGCTGATCTAGGTCCTAGCAAAGCAATCAGACATGATCGGTAATGTTGTGAAATCCAAATACAAAATTAAATTTGGCGAGGTAACAAGGAAAGAATTATTTATTCACAACGTTTGTGATTTCACATGTGAAGCGGTCCTAATACGAAATTTAATTTGCCGAGGTAACAGGAGACGGAAAAAAATTATTTATTCACAAAGTTGTGATTTCACATGAAAAGTTCAAAGAAAATTATTTTTTATAAACTTTATTATTAAACTTGTATATTATAATGTTTTACTGAGCGGTCCCATAAAATTGCCAATTTTGAATAATTATCGCTTTTTACAAATTTAATTATAAAAATATTTATGACATTTTTTTGATTGGGGTTACTTATTATAGATAAGTGATTAGACTTCTCTAGAGTTAGTGATCTATTAGATCGTAAGGAGCGGTTAAGGAGCGGTTAACATCCCTAATTTAAAAATAAATCTTTGTATGATACATTATATCTCATGACTTGATTTTACTGGATCCTTTTTTTCATTTACAATAATTTAGGATTGGTAAACATTTTGTGCATATGGACATTTTCCTCGAAATAGATTTACTGTATTTTCCCTAGTCTTGATGTACGTGATTGAAAGTAATCCAACTTTAATCAAAATTTAATAGATTTAATAATTGGATGCAGATTCCCATGTATTAAAATTAATTTAACAATCTTAGTATCTTACCATATATGTATAATGATCAGAACGCTCCTTGATTTTCAAATTGGCCTCGGAATTAAAAATGTATTAGGAAATCGGGAATCTTTATTTTTTTTATTATAAAAGATGGTGGTTTCGTTACTCTGAAAAGACAAGTCATAACAATTGTATTCACAAAAAAAAAATAAAATAAAAAATAAAATTATCAATAACCACACACTGAGAAAACTCTAATAAAATTAAATACAAATTATCTTTCAAAGCAAAGACATCATGAAACAATTTATTTTTGCATTTATTTTATTGATTACGCTTTCTGTCTTACCTACTGGTGAAGCATACCCTGGTGGTTTCTGCTGCAAGACTTTCTCAAATGAAGATAATGCGTCTCCTACTCCTGTCGCTGAAGCGTAACCTACTATTTAATTGTCCCATCCCTGGTTATTTTTTAGGCATTAAAAATAGTGATTTTGCAAAATTTGCAAAATTATTTTAATATTAATTAGATAGAATCCGATTCTGTATTGTAATACTGTACTTGTGAAAAATTTTTGATTTTTATATTGTGACAAAACACGATTTTTTTTTTTTCGCACGAACTTTTAAAAATGAGGCATACGTGATGCATAACATCAAAATTTTAGTGCAAGCTCTAAATGTATCTAGTTTTTTAATTTGGACTGACATTTAAATTGATTGGTAATTTACTCTTCAAATTCACAATCATTATTAATTATATAAATTGAACAATAAAATATGCATGGTATTTTTAAAACATTATTCCAAATGCGTTAATTATTATTTTACATTACCGCCTCTTTCTAAACTAAAAAGACAACAGACAACAGATGGTAAATACTATGCTGTTAAAAATAATTGTGTAAAAGAGGGTTTCCGTTTGAAATTATAGTTGCCTGGCAAAACTCTCGGGTTTCGACGGGTCATTGGCAAAACTGTAATATAACATTTTTCTTCTTTTTTTTTAGGAGCGGATCTTTCGTTCTTCCAGAAGGGGTAAGTCTTTTCTTTTTAGGTTCTTTTAGGTGATTTTTTTCTTTTTGGTTGGGTGAGTCTTCTTTTGAAAGGGTTCTTTAGAAGTGAATTAGAATGTTAATTCATTTTTTATTATTTTTTTAAGTTTGAATATAGTTATTTACAGTATTTATTTTTACTTATTTATTAAGTCATTACTACAAATATAAATAGATTAGTATAATTTACAAATTATATATATTTCAAAATATTAAAGAAAATATATTTTATAAAAAATTAATAAATTTGAAGTAAATGAGAATTTTTTTTAAATAATCATTTTTTTCACTTTAACTAGTTTTTAAATTACTTCTTTTACTAGAAATAATATTACTTATATCTGAAAACAAGCATTCACTAGAAACTGATATTGCTATAATTCCTAAATATTTTTTAGCTAATTGATTAAAGCTCTGAACAGTTCAGATTAATCCAGAAATTTTTTAGTTCAAATCAGTTTCAGATTATATAAAAATCAATTCAAAAATTTGGAAAAAATCTGAATCAAACTAAAAATTTAGATTAATCTAACAGTTCAGTTTAATTATATACAAAACTCTTGACAGATCGCAATAAATTTGCAAATTTCTAAGAGATTCACAAGAATATCACAAAATTCTTGAAAAAATACAATAAATTTACAAATTCTTTAAGAGGGTTGCAAAAATATAATGAAACTCTTAGATAATTGCAATTTTTTGTGATTTCTCTTCAAATTTTACAAAAAATCTTAAAGAATCATAAAAGTTGTAAATTCTCTAAGAGGTTTATATTTTTCACGAAACTCTTTAAAAAATTACAATACAGTAACTTCTAAAATTATTGTTCCATTTCATTTAAAATTTTTAAATCGTGATATTCACATAATTAAGTAAAAACAACACCAAAAATTTAGCTAATTTTAAAGGATATGACTTCATTTTTAATATATTTAAATTTGGTTAATACTTTATTTTTAGCTTTTTAAAAAATTTCTTGTTATGTATCTTTTTCATAGAATAATACTTTTGGCATTTAAAAATAAACAAAATAAAATGGAGATTGCGTAATGCATTTTATATATATAAATAAAATAAATTTGTAGATCAGTTTGTACAACTTTCTTTGGGATTTTTTTTAGTATAATTATGAAGCTGATTTTATTTCATCAAAAAGAATGTATTTTTTCTCCCACTCAAGAGGGAATATCAAGTCATAAAATAGCTTCTTGCGAAAATGTTAGTTATTCTTCTGTAATTAGAATTAAAAAAATAAAAGAAAAACAGGTTCTTTTGATACTATACCAAGACTAAGCCACTCAAAAATACTTATAGAACATTATGATCAAAATATTGCTAGGCTTATTAAGTCAGATGAATGTTCAAATGCAATCTAAGTTTAAAAATTTAATTTTCAACGAAAATATTATTGTTTCTACAAATACAATTCAATGCTCATTAAAAAGGCAAGGTCTTATAGCTAGAGTTAAAAAGAAAAAGCTATTACTTATAAAATGATATAGAATTGCTTAAAAAAACTTTGTTGAAGAGTATTGTGATTAGACTATAAAAGATTGGTGAAAGGTAATGTAGTCAGATGAAAGTAATTTCCTAATTTTTAATTCAGATGGAAAGGAATGGTATTGGAGAGATTCAAAATTACCTTTGCAACTATAACATATTAAGCTGACTGTAAAATTTGGTGGAGGTTCTGTAATAATATAGAGTTGTATAGGTGCATTTGGTGTAGGAAAGTATTATAAAATTGATGGAAGATTAGATGAAGAGTTATATTGAGAGATTTTAGCAGATAAATTCATGAGTACCTTTAGTGAATGTGATTTAAATGTAAATAATGTCATTTTTCAATAGGATAATAACCCAAAACATACAGCAAAAAAGACATATGAATAGTTTGATAGTAATAATATTAAGATTTTAGATTGATTATCACAATCACTTGACTTAAATCCTATCGAACATTTGTGAAACAAAATTGATCATTGATTATGGTAGCTTTCTGATAATATTACTAGTGCAAAAGATCTATAGAATAAGATACAACTAATATAGAGTCAAATGGATATTGACTTTTGTTTGAAACTAATTGATACAATACCACAAAAAGTTAAAGATGTACTTAAAACTAATGGAGAATATACAAAGTAGTAATAATTATATTAAAAAAATTTTGAGTATAGTTGGTTAGTAACAAATCAAAGAATTTTATGTAATTAGTTTATTCTTTATATATGCTAAAAGTATTATTTCACAAAAAATATATAACGCAGAATTTTTTAAAAATTTACAAATAAAGTATAAATTAAATTTAAATATATTAAAAATAAAATCACAGACTTTAAAATTGTTTAAATTTTCAATTTTATTATCATTTAATTGCATAGGTATTATAATTTGAAAATTTTAAATGAAGTGGAATAATAATTATGGAAGTTACTATAAATTTACAAATTCTTTAAGAGGTTTACAATTATTTTTGAGATTTGTATATAATTGAACTAAAATTTTAGAATAATTTAAAAATTCCATATATTTACTATTTTGCAGTTCAGTTTATATTTAAGCTAGCATTTTTAAGATTAATGATCTGAATTAAACTGAACTAAATTTTAGTTAAGATTTAAATTATTTAATTTAAACTGAATTGAACTGTTTAGAATTTTATAATTGACTTAAAAAAAAAATTTTATTTATTATTTTCTTACCAAACTAAAGACATAATTTTTTATTAGATTTAATTTTAAGTAATTATCAACTTCATTTCTTCATTATTATATAAACTTTTATTATTATCTCTATATATTATATTTATAATAAAACATTCTTATTTAATAATTCTATATTATTATATATTCTTAAATTATTTTTATCATTATTATTAGTAAATTTATAATTTTTATATTTAATAATAAATAATTAGATTGCTTTTAACTTTTCAATATTTATTAATTACAATATCTAATGCTTTTATGACTAAAATAATTAATCTATCTATATATAGGGATTGTTATAGTAAAAAGTGGTGATATACTGATTACGTGATTTTGAGAAAATTGTGATTTAAATTATGCAATTAATTTTTGTCGATCATTGTAAAAAAATTTGAATTTTTCAAAACTGGTCTTTATAATCTAAGATGAATTTTTGCAAGCAATTATTTAAGTACATTAACCTTCTTTTAATATATTTATTTTTATTTAAATCATAAAATTTATATAATATATAGGTTTAATAAAGTTTGTGTAATATTTCGTAATCATTTTAAAATAACTTTTTTTTTATTTTAAATATTTGTAAATATAAAAATAATAATAAAAA